AAAAAAAAAAAAAAAAAAAAAAAAAAAAAAAAAAAAAAAAAAAAAAAAAAAAAAAAAAAAAACAACAGTGGTTCTCAACCTGTGGGTCACAAACCCTCTTGGGGTCACTTAAGACCACTGGAAAACACAGATATTTACATGACTATTCATGACAGTAGCAAAATTACAGTTATGAAGTAACAACAAAGTAATTTTATGGTGGGGGGGGGTCACCACAACATGAGGAACTGTATTTAAGGGTCTCAGCATTAGGAAGGTTGAGAACCACTGCTCTAGCCTAAGAATAATGTTTCCTCCCAGCCACCCTTTCGGCTGGTGACATGTGCTGTGTTTTGCAGATGAAGTATCCCCCAAAAGGCTCTTGGAGGCTTGGTCCCCAGGTGGTGGAGCCAGACACAGAGAGGTGACCAGGTCATCATAGATCTGAGATGATCGATGATTCATCAAGGGATGCTGTCATTGGGAAGTGGTGAAAACTAGGAGGTGAGACCTGGCCGGAGGGGGTGGCGGCTTAGGGACATGCTTCGGAAGAGCATGTCGGCCCACTTCCTTGAGTATTCTATCTCCTGGCTGCTGAGCAGTCTCCTCTGCTGTGGGATATCTGTGCACTGTGTGGAGATGTGTTGCTGTGACTGGTGTGATAAAAAGCTGAACGGCCAATAGCTAGGCAGGAGGTATAGGCGGGACTTCTGGGCAGAGAGAGGAAGGAGGAGGAGGACCTAGGGGCACAAGAGACACCAGGAGACATGGAGAGGAAACAGGAGGTGCGAGATGGAAGAGAGATAATGCCACGTGATAGAACATAGATCAGTAGAAATGAGTTAATTTAAGGTATAAGAGCTAGTTAGGAACAAGCCTAAGCTATAGGCCGAACTTTCATAATTAATAATAAGTCTCCATGACATTATTTGGGAGCTGGCTGGTGGGACAGAGAAAGACTCGTTACACTCCTCAGCTACAGTTTCCCCCACAGGAAGCTCCACGTGACCACAGGGGACTGAGGTGAGGCCTCTGAAATTGTGAGCCTGAACAACTGTTTTTCCTTTTAAACCATTTCTTTCAGATGTGTGACAGAATGACAGAAATCTGGCAGACACAGAGGGGAAACAGGATAGCGTGGTCCAGGGTCTAAGAACAAAGAATGAATTCAGAGAGAGAGCAATAAAGGGGTGTGTGTGTGTGTGTGTGTGTGTGTGTGTGTGTGTGTGTGTGTGTGAAGACGGATGCCAGTGGCTGCAGTGGGGACCTGCTGGATCCCCTGGGAGTAGACCAGCACCCCAGTTCTCACTAGATCCTTCATAAGCCCCTCTGACCCCATGCATTGAGTCCACCCTGCCCTCAGAGGCCACCACTAGACCAACCCTGAGAGGAGCAGCTGAGGAAGGAGTCGCTACTTCGATAACAACACTCGTCACTCCCTGTGAACCCCTCAGGAGCCCCCCAAGCCCTCGACACCCCCACACCGCAGCCTCACCTCTGTCGAGGTCTTCGCCCACAGCGCCAGGCCCTTGACTGTAGAAACGCTTCGCAAACTCGTCCAGCTGGCCTCTGAAGTTCAGTATCTCACTCCGGGTGATCTGAGGGAAGGAGGCCGCCCCTTAGCTTGACTTAGCCTCAGTACGGGGATTGGAACCCAAGACCTCGCGTGAGCCGCGTGCACCCTAGTCCTGAGCCGTGCCCCTGTCCCCCGTCTGCACTCAGAGTCGAGGTGACTCCGCACCTCGGTGAATGTCCTCTTGATGCCTCCAAGCGAGTGCTCCACGTTCATGGAGTCGGTGAAGAGGGTTTGCCACATGCTTTCGATCTTGTCAACCAGTTCCCGCTCGGCATCCGTAGGCTAGAGGGAGGGAAACAGAAAGACAGACAGACAGACAGACAGACAGACAATGAAGAGGAGAGAGACAGAACGAATTACCAGTGATGCTGGAGCTGAAATGTCAGGTGAAAGCTGCCCCCACAGACCTCCGCTTCCAGTTGCACCCAAGGGGGCTGTCTGAACCAACTGAGACGCTCCCTGAGGTTCTAACATTGTGTTCTTGGGGTGGTTTATGTGGTTTGGGGATTTCAGTTTTTACCTTTTAGTTGTGTGTGTGTGTGTGTGTGTGTGTGTGCAAGTGTGTACAGTGCCTGCAGAGGCCAGAAGAAAATATCAAATGTCCTGAAGCTGGAGTGACAGGCGGTTGTGAGCCGCCTGATGCGGGTGCTGGGAACCCAATATGGCATAGCACTCTTAACGGCTAAGCCGCCTCTCCAGACCCATTTGCTCACTTTGGACTTGAAGTTTTACGTATCCCAGGCTGGACTCTAACCCACTACATAGCCAAAGATGATCCTCCTGCCTCCAACTTCCCAAGTTCTGGGAGCATAGGTATATACCACCATGTCGAGGCCGAACTGTATTTTTGTAATCAAAATGGTATCTGGGCTAGGTGTAGTAGCACATCAGAGTCAGGAGGATCTCTATGAGCTAGAGGCCAGCTCTACATAATGAGTTCCAGGCCAGCTAAAGCTTCATAGTGAGAACCTGTAAAGAGAGGAGTGGGGGAGAGGGAGAGAGGGAGAGAGGGAGAGAGGGAGAGAGAGAGAGAGAGAGAGAGAGAGAGAGAGAGAGAGAGAGAGAGAGAGAGAGAGAGAGAGAGAAGCTAGAGAGCTCAGTAGTTAAAAGCTCTAAGCTACTCTTCCAGAGAACCAGAGATCTGGATCTATGCCCTCTTCTGGCCTCTGTGGGTATTGCACTTATATTCACATAATATACACATTTATATGCATATGTGTGTGCATATATATAAAGATACATAATTAAAAAAGAACAAAAGAAAGGAAAAAAGTAGTTTCTTCATATTATAACTTCTGAAAACAAAGCACAAAAAGCAATCTTGAAAGTGGATGGAGAGATGGCTCAGTGGTTAAGAGCACCAGCCGCTCTTCTAGAAGACCTGAGTTCAGTTCTCAGCACCCACATGGCTGCTTACAACCATTTGTAACTCCAGTGCCAAGGGGTCTGGTGCCCTCTTCTGGCCTCTGCAGGTACTTCACTCACATACAAATAAAAATGAATAAATCTTTCAAAAAATTTAAAACACAGAGAGACTCTGCCTCAAAAATAAGAGACTAATAAAAACCACTTATCATAAGTTTCTTTTATCATCTCACATTCCCTTTTCTTATTCTTTTGTTGTTGTTGTTTTTTTTGTTGTTTTGTTTTTAGTTTTTTGGGACAGGGTTTCTCTGTGTAGCCCTAAATGTCCTGGAACTTACTCTGCAGACCATCCTGTTCCTTCTGTCCTTATTTATTATTACATGTGTATGTGTGTGATATGTAGGTGTGAGCACACATGCCATGGTGCACATACAGAGGTCAGAGGACAATCGGTGGAGTTAGTTCTCTCCTTCCACCTTTACATGGGTTCTGGGGATTGAACTCAGGTCTCCACCCTGTGTGGCAAGCTCCTTTACCCACTGAGCCATCTTGCCAGCCCTCTTATTAGTTTATTAAAGCTCTTTACTTTTGTTTTGTTTTTTGAGACAGGGTTTCTCTGTGTAGTTTTGGTGCCTGTCCTGGATCTCACTCTGTAGACCAGGCTGACCTTGAACTCACAGAGATCCGCCTGGCTCTGCCTCCAGAGTGCTGGGATTAAAGGCATGTGCCACCGCTGCTGGCAACTCTTTATCCTCTTCCCCAAGAAAGGGAAAAAGAAGAAAGGAAGAGGGGCGAGATGAGACTGTGAGCTAATGTGGGTGCAAAACATCACGTGAGCCTTGTGAGGCCAAGCCACGGTCTCCACATTCAAAGTTCATTAAAATACCCGTGAGGTGACTTCCTACGGGCAACGACTGCTTTGTCGCTTGCTTGGGAACACCTGGCTGGGAGGGTGTCTGAGAGGCCCTGCTGGGGATGGTTTTGGCGGTTGAACGAGAGTGTCCCCCCACAGGCTCACTGTGTGAACTCTTGGTCGGTCGTTGGCGCTGTTCGGGGAGGTGGTGGAACCTTTAAATGTAGGGCCTTTCTTGGGGCTGGGCTTTGAGGGACTGTAGCCTTGCTCACTTCCTGTCGCCTCTCTCTGCTTCGTGTGTGTGGATGAAATATGGCTAACTAGCTTCCCACTCCGGCTGCCATATTTTCCCTGACAGTTACCATGCCTGCCCGGCCGTGCTGGATTCTATCCCTCGGGAACCATAAACCCAAACAAGTTCTTTCCTCCTGAAGTTGCGTTCACCGGGGTGTTTTATGACAGGAACAGGAAAGCAATATAGAGTAGCAACCCAGCTAACGGGGGCGTCGGGACAGCAAAGCTGACTCACAAAGATATTGTATATCGCCAAGGTGCGGTACCGCTCCTGGACGTCCGTGTACCTCAGCTCCATGACTAAAGATTTGGTCCTGATCTCGGCAATTGTTGCAAGGACGAACTTGAGATCCTCCAGGGTGTTGGGGCTCTTCTTAAGGTTTTTAGTCAGGTGCTATGAGAGAATTCGGTCGTGAGACAAAACAGGAACAGATGAAGACTTCCTGCCTGCTTGCCCGCCTTCCTCAAGAACGGGGCTCCTCGTTCCAGCCTGGATGCTAGGGATGCGTGCCGGCTAGTTCTAATTGTCAACGTGATGCAACCTGGAGTATCTTCGTGAGGAATTGTCTAGATGAGGTTGGCCTGTGGGCATCTGTGTGTGTGTGTGGGGGGGTGTCTTAATTGTTATTTGATGTAGGAAGACCCAGCCCACTGTGGGCGGCACCATTCCCTGGGCAGAGAGTCCTGACCAGTATAAGAAGAGAAAGCTAACTCAGAGCGAGCGGCAAGGATGTACGTATTCTCTCTCTGCTCTTGGCTGTGGACATGACTTGACTGTGGTCTGAGTTCCTGCCTTCACATCCCCTCAGAGATGGACTGTAACCTGAAATTATGAGTGAAAAGAAACCCTTTCTCCCTCCAAGTCACATTTTTGTGGGGATAGTTGATCACCCCAACAGAAATGAAGTGAGGACAGGGCGGAACCCAGAAACTCTCTTTGCATGCGCTGGGCCGGGCTCTACCATAGAGCTACACCGCCCCCCCGCCTCAGCCCTTGAAAAATCTGGTCTCTATAAAGGTGGCTTCAGGGTACCTCAATCTCATCCCGGATGCTGAACAGCTCCTCCCTGGCTGACTCGTTGAGGAGCTTCCCCAGGGAAATCACCCAGGACTTGGCATTTTCTTGCACGGTGTTGGCCAGGGGCCCAAGCTGCAGACGGATGCAGTGCTCATCCCTGGTCAGCAGGTGCGACATCACGTCGGAGGCGATCTTGGAGTAGAACTGCAGCTTCTCGTCGTAGGCCACACAGGATGGCTTCTTGGCGGCAAACTTCTCCATCACGATGGACTTGTCCAGCTTCCAGAGGGGCCGGTAGCGCTTCCACCGCTGCAGGTACTTCATGAGGCTCATCAGGAGCCGGTGGATGTTTTGGGGGATCATGACGGCTTGATCCATGATCTGGGGGTTCAAGGAGATGTCGTTGTAGAAGCTCATGATGATGATTTCTTCCTCCTCGCCCTTCTGAGGCGGGCATTCGATACAGCTGCCATTCATCCAGCGCACGAAGTACTGGCGGGAGAGTGGGTAAGGGGTGAGTGTTAAACACAGGGTACCTCCTGGGCATCTACCAGTTCCTGGCAACGAGTCCTGCTATGATGGACCATCTCACTATGTAAGCCTTCAAGGCTGCCCTCGAGATCATGATCCTCTTGCCTCAGCCCAAACGGTAGGATTACAGATGTGTGCCACCATGCCCTGCTCTGTCCCCTCCCTCCTCCCCTCCCTCCCTGCAATCCCAGCACTAGGGGTGGGGGGTGGGGAGACGTAGAAAGATCAGAAACTCAGGGTTCTCCTTGGTTACATAGGGAGTCTGAGGCTAGCCTTGGTTAATGACTGAAAAAAAAAAAAGGAAATTTTTATAAAGAGAAAAAAAGGGGGAGCAGAAATTGGGCTATGGGTCTGCTCCCACATTTGATGGCTTCACGGCAGCCAGGGGGAGTTGAACCAGTGTCCGCCGGCACCTCTCCGACTGTACCCACCAATGAGCTGGCAGCAAGGGGGGACAAGCAAAAAAGCTGCTGTTATCCTGGTGACCCCCACATTACCTTGGTAACCTCCACGCAGTTCCGGGTGCAGTGGACGCACATCTTATCGATCTCATTGGCGTTCGGGTGGAGGATGATTTCCGGAGCCGTCAAAATGGTTTCCGCTTGGAACAGAGGGACATTCCCAAGGATCAGAGAGTTGAAATTCTGTAAGTTCCTAAGTGGGGGGGGGGGGTGCAAAGGACACAGGACTCAGGGTACGAAAGACACCGAGCACTGATGGAGAGAGTATGGGGTCAAGGGTGAAGGTCTGTTGCACCCCGCAGATATGTAAGGAAGGCACAGTGTGGGGGGGACTACTGACCCCTTTGCCTACATTTATTATGCACCTGGGTCGTTTCTGCCAGAGGAATCAAATGCCTACTGGTGGGAAATAATAACACAACAGCGACCACCCAAAAGTTGAGCCCAGCAGTGCTCTGTCTCCTGGGAATGCTTTCCGCTCTTCCATGCCGATCATTCAACAGGTGTCTATCCCCTTGCTTTGGTCTCTCAAGAGAACAGGGCCCTTGTCTGTGACCAGGCTCTAGTCCAGGCCCCAGCACATGGCTACTTCTGATAAAGCTTGGCTGGCTGGATGCACGGATACATGGGTGGGTAGATGAATGCACGGATAGATGGATGATAGCTGGATGGATGGATGGATGGATGGATGGATGGATGGATGGATGGATGGATGAACGGATGAACAGACGCATTGGTGGGTGGAACTGTGGGTGAAGGTATGGGTGGATATCAACATGAATGGATGGATAGATGGTGATGGGGGTAGATAGATAATGGATGGTAGACAGATGGAATGGAGAAATGAACGGATGTGTACATGCATGGGCAGTGGTAAGATACAATGTATTTGGCAAACACTGTGGGAAGCAGTTCCAGATAAGGTACTCTGAAGAACCTAAGCTTGCTTTCCAGCATCTATCAATGCCAGGCGGCTTACAACTGTCTGTAATTCCAGCTGCAGGGAGAGCCAATCATCTGGCCCCCACAGCACCTACATTCATGATCACATACATGGAATCTAAAATTAAACAAGTATTTTAAGTATGTTTAAGTTTTTAAACATGGAATCTAAAATTAAACAAGTATTTTAAGTATGTTTAAGTTTTTTAAAAAGGACACTGGGATACAATGACGCCACTTTTACCAGCACAACTCAGGGGTCATACAGATGCCGCTCACGGGCTGGCTTCTTAGAATGACCCGGGGCTCCAGTGCGTGTGACTCCCAGCTCGTCCAGTTCTGCTGCTGCTGGGTCGCAGGACCCACAGAGGACAGCGGCTTCGGTGCTGGACTGTCCTGAGCAATCAGAACTCAGTACACAGTGACCATTCCAGCAGGTGATTGACCGCAGCCCCGGGGAAGAGGGCTGGGTCATCTGTCCTCCAAATCCATCTCTCAACACAAACAAAACCTCTTCTGGGGCCTTCTCTGCCAGACAAACACAGTTACCGTGTCGTCTAGAAGCAGAGAGGCACACCGCAGCCTTGGTGTGCCAGAAGGGACTCACAGGAGCAGGGGCCCACACAGAGGACGCTCCTCTTGATCAGCCTCCCCAACCAGCTGCCCATCACAGCCCGTAACTCATGACCAACCCATGCACAACCCAGGTGGGCTGACCTCAGGATGAGTTTCCCCAGGACGTCATAGATTCTGCCTTCCCAGTACTCGTAGTAGGAGGCCAGTTTGGGGGCCCTGCCCGTGTTGGTGTGCACAACTAGGCCTTCCACTTTGGTCAGAAGCGGCCCAATCGCCAGGTACCACCGGACCATGTGGTCCACATCCTTGGCCCTTTCCCGTTCAATGTGCTCGAAGAATTCTTTTACACCTGTAGAGAAGGGCACGGAGTTATACGCAGCAGCCCACAGCATGAAAGTTCTCCAGGGGCCAGTGTGAGTGTAGATAGAGGAGCTTGCCGCCAAGCCTGACGGCGCAGGTTCAATCCTCAGGACCCACACGGTGGAAGGAGAGAACCAACTTCTGCAAGCTGTCCTCTGACACACACACACACACACACACACACACACACACACACGCACGCACGCACACACGCACACACGCACACACATGCATGCGCACGTGTGTGCTCACATAAGAAAACTAAAAAGAAAAGAATTAAAAAGTTGCTTGGGGCTGGAGAGATGGTTCAGCAGTTAAGAGTGCTTGCTGCTTTCAGAGGCCCTGGGTTAGTGCCCAGCACCCACATGGCAACTCACAACTAGATGTAGCCCTGCCTCCAGGGACTCGGATGCCATCTTCTGCCCCACCCCGACAGGCACCGCATGCGTGTTCGACAGAAACATGCAGACAAAACACCCATGTGCACAAAATAAAAATAGATAAAATGATGAAAAGGAAGCACCTTATGCCTGCAGAGGGAGGAGACATGCGTTACACTCAGCGGCTGTGACTTAGAAGGACTTCAGAGCAGAGCCTGTCCACACGTCAGCCACCGGTCAGGGTCCATCCACACACCAGCCACAAGTCAGAGGCCGTCCATACACCAGCCACAAGTCAAGGCCCGACCACACATCAGCCATGGATCAGGGCCCGACCCATCAGCCACACGGGTCATGAGCTGTATGTACTCATGGAAATGGAGTTAATGGCAGAAGTTAAGACTCACCTCAAGAAAAAAGCAAGTGACACCAGACAGGGTCATGATGGATGCTGGTGCCCCACACATAGCCAGGAGCTATGATGTTTTACTTAAATTCTTTGGTGACTAGTTTTGAATTCCTTATTGACTAGTTTAGGACAATTTAAAATACCTCTAGTGCAGGGAAAAGTAAAGATGAGTCCATAAAATACAATTTATCTGACTATCAACAAAGTTACACAGCCGGATGTGATGGTGTGTGCATCTGCAGTCCCAGCACTGGGAAGTCTGAGGCAGGAGGATGGCAAGTTCAAGGCCAGCTTGGGCAACATAGGAGAACCCATCTCAAGAAAAAAATAGGTCAGCTGGGCATGGTGGTGTACACCTTTAATCCCAGCACTCGGGAGGCAGAGCCAGGTGGATCTCTGTGAGTTCGAGGCCAGCCTAGTCTACAGAGCGAGATCCAGGACAGGCTCCAAAGCTACACAGAGAAACCCTGTCTCGAAAAAAGCCAAGAAGAAGAAGAAGGCGGAGGAGGAGGAATCACTGACAGAAGCATTTCAAAGTTACTATGGAAAGTGACTTTTCAAGTCAGGTATGGTGACGCATGCCTTTAATCCCAGCAATCAGGAGGCAGAGGGTAGGTGAATGGATCTCTGTGAGTTCGAGGCCAATCTGGTCTAGAGTGAGACCTTGTCTTTGTCAAAGTCAAGAGTCTGGCGGGCTGGGGCTGGCTCGGTGGTGGGGCACTTAGCTGAGCATACGAAAGGACTGGAACTAGCCATGGTCACAAGCTGCGACACTACTAAGTACCACAGAACACGGCAGAGGTGACTTGGGACACGGCCATAACACTTCAAGTAAAGGGCTGGGGTGGTTAGACCGGTTTATTCCAGCCGCTGAATGTCTGGAGCATAGAGATGGTGAACGTGGGGCCTCTCTTTCATTCCACGACAGACGAGCCTACCTGGGAGCGTACCCTCGGTTTTGGAGACGGGGTACCGAAAGAGGTTGACGGACTCGATCAGTGTCAGCCTGGAGACGATGTCCTCCGCGTTCTTGTGAATCTGGTGGACGAGAGACTCGAACTTGCCGATGGCCTGCTTACAGCGATTGATGTAGTCAGCGATGCCTTGGGGGAAGAGAAAGCACCATGGTTCCGTCTCTGCCGTCCTTGGCCCTCCCACCAACATCCGTGACACCCATGGGGACGCCACTGAGCTCACAGACCCCGTGTCTGCAGCTGTGTTGACTGAGCAGTGGCTAAGAGCTACTCATCCCCTGAAGGCCTGGGACGGAGATGTCTGGGCAGGAGGAATCTACCAGGCTTAACAATAGGGTTTCATTTGCGTTCATTATTTGTGTGTGTGTGTGTGTGTGTGTGTGTGTGTGTGTGTGTGTGTGTGTGTATACATAAGTGGGTATGACTGTTGTGCATATATGTATGTGTATGACTGTTGTGCATATATGTATGTATATGTATGTGTGTGCATGTGTAAATGTATGTGCATAAGTGTGTACCTATGTATCTGTATGCACGTGTGCATGTGTGTATGTATGTGTTTATTTGTGCATGAAACTTATGTACATTTGTGTAGTTTATATTCACATACTGTGATACTTTGGTTTTCACGAAAAAGACTGGGCAGGTGGCCCAGTGGGCAGGAGCGTTTGTTCCATAAACATGGGGACATGAGTTTAAATCCCTGGTACCCGTGTACAAACGTGGGCAAGGCTGTGCATTGTGGACAGAGGCGGGCAGAGCCTGAGCTCACTGGGTAGCCAGCCTTGAGAGCAGTGATTGTCTCCAGGCAACAACACAGAAAGATAGAGGAGTGACACCTTCCTCTGCATGCACACACCCCACCCCACCCAAGACACACACGTAAAACGCACTGGAAGGGGACCAGAGCTGTGCTCTTACCTAGTGAGTTCCAGTTCAGCCTCTTGTACCCGGAGCGGAACACCCTGAGCAGCTCCTGGGAATGGTCGTCCAGGAGTGCCGTCTCTGCGTCGTTGAGCGTGTTGATGAGCATGTGGTAGTGGTCCAGCATGCGCTGAATGCCCTCTGTGTACCTGAGTGCCCAGCGCAGGGAACGGTGAGAGACGCAGAGCTGAGGAACTACAGCAGCAGGTGCCCCAGGGGCCTGACTCACCCACAATCCCGCCAGGACATTTGCAGAGGGCTGGGATGAGGCTCAGGGCCAGAGTGTGTACAAGCGCCGGGCCCTGTCCATCCCCAGAACCACAGGGAGGGGCCTGCCAGTGTTCCGTGCCCACGGGAGCAACTCCACGTGTGAACCACGGCGTCGCGTCAACTCCTGCCCTGGTCAGTATTGCTAGTCATTCACCTTCCGGTGCTAAAGCTTCACATGGATGGACTGGGGGGAGGGGCAACCACCGTCTCGTCACGTGACCTTCTGCTGAGCCCACCAGGCTCTGACCAGTGACAGCCACACAGACCTGGTTAATCTCAGGTCACAAAACAGTACAGAGAGATGTGAATGTGCAAGAGAGATCTGTGAGGAGGAGGGGAGGGTGGACGGGGTGGGAGGGGGTGGGGGAGCGACCAGTATGCAAAGCGAACATAAATGAAACTGTAAATATAATGAAAAATGTTTTAAGGAAATGAGTTAAACACAGTGGTGCACGCCTTTAATCCCAGCACATGGGAGGCAGAGGCAGGCAGATCCCTGTGAGTTTTGAGGACAGTCTGGGCTACAGAATGAGTTCCAGGACAGCCTTCAACTCTGCATAGTGAAGATGTTGTCTCCAAAAAAAAATTAAAATTAATTTTTAAATAATAAAATTAAATTAAACATTAAATAAAAATGAATAAAAGGAACAAAAGCTTTGAGGGAGGGCTCCACCATCACCATCAGGAGGGTCGGGTGGTAGCGTTGAAGGGACAAATCAGTTGATGAAGCATTTGCCTTGCAAATACAAGGCCCTGAGTTCGATCCCCCAGCGCCTGTGTATCAAGCTGCATGGTGGCAGAAACAGGCAAATCCCTGCGGCTCACCGGCAGCCATCAGAGCCAGACCAGTGAGCCGCAGACCAGGGAGAGAGTCTGCCTCAGAAACAAGACGAACAGTGTCTAAGGACAACACCCAACATTGACCTCCTGGCTATACATGCTCATGCACCTGAAACACACATGTGCACACGCATGTGTGCAAATGCACATACATATACACACAGAGACACAGACAGGTGGGCAGGCACACACATGCATGCACACATACACACATGCACACATTTTAAAAAAACAACAACAACAAAAGAGTATCAAGAGGCCCTGTGACCAAAGTGTCCCCTCCGATTGAAGAAGGGTCTTCTCACCTGAGGAATTTGTCTTCCTGGAGGGCCACGTTCCTCGCCAGCTCAGGGACAGTGAAGCCCAGCTGCTCTAAGTACTTGGTTTCGTTAATGATCTCTCTGAGAATAGGGGAGAAGTTGATGACAAACACGGCCCCCTTTTCCGTCGGGGCCGCATCCTCCGTCGTGGCCGCATTCTGTGGAAGAGACGATACATGGCCTGGAAATGAGTGTCTGCCGGTGCTCGTGAAGCTCACTGGACGTGGGCGTGACAGAGACCAGTGCGGTCCCTTCCCCCAGCGGACGGACACGGACTGGAACCAGCGGGATACACACGCTGGTTTTCAGGGTCACTCAATAATCTAGTCTTGGGCTGGTGGCTCAGTGTGCAAGCAGGGAAGGCCTGAGTTTGGATTCTCAACACTGTAAAATGTCAGGCCTATGTGCACATGTGCGTACCACAAATAATATCAGAGAGACGGGGGGACTAGAGAGAAGGCTAGACAGAAGGATTCTTGGGGTTGCATGGTCAGCCAGTCTAGCGAAATCCATGAGTTCTTGGTTAAGTGAGAGACCCTGTCTCAAAAAATATTGTTGGGAGTGATTGAGGAAGACACTTGATGTCAAGCTCTGGCCTCTGTGTATGTGAACATACATTCTAACACCACACACACACACACACACACTTCAGTTTAGCAGCCCCAGGTCCAACTGGACTACAGAACGAGCTCAAGACCAGCCTAGGCAACTGAGTGAGACCCTGCTCCAAAATAAAAAGGAAGGCAGTCAGCCGGGCGGTGGTGGCGCACGCCTTTAATCCCAGCACTCGGGAGGCAGAGGCAGGTGGATCTCTGTGAGTTCGAGGCCTGCCTGGTCTACAGAGCGAGATCCAGGAAAGGCACCAAAACTACACGGAGAAACCCTGTCTCGAAAAAAAACCAAAAAAGAAAAAAAGTCAGAGATATGTCTCAGTGGTATTCAGTGGTAGACAGCCTGCCTAGAACCCCCCAGGGAGGGGCTGGGGGTGCGGCCAAGTGGTAGTGTGCTTGTCTAGGATGTACAAGGCTCGGAGTTCAATCCCCAGAATTCTATTTAGTTGCCAATATTAGAATATTAGGTGAAGTCCTATAAAAATGGAGATTTCTGGGAAATCAAGTCATGGTTTCAGGCACAGGCTAGAATTGGGGAGCTGGCACCCCTGGTAGCCCTGAACACCCCAGCTCCACCAGGTGTACAGACGGGTTTGTTCCACCCTCGGGCTGGCAAAGAAGTTACCCGCTAGAAAGAGCTCCGGGGACCACAAACATAAAACCTCCAGGTCAACAGACACTGACCTCCTGAGTGGCGGCCACGTGCCCGGCCCACAGCCACAAGAGGGTGGCACACGGGAAAGTTTAAAAAGTGGCCTGTGGGCCTTCGCGGTGACTCAGTGATATAAGAGGTGCTTGCCACCAACCTGTGCTCAGTCCCTGGAGCCCACACAGAGGAAGGAGAAAATTGGCTCCTGCAAGCTGTCCTCTGATGTACACACACACACACACACACACGCACACACATACACACAAACACACGCATGCACACACAGAGCCACACGTGCATCCACACACTAAGTAGTAATATAAACCCCTGTGAGTCACATATGATTCAATGAGGACTTCATAGATTTCTGTCATCCAGTCGACTCAATTGTTTTTTTTTTAGTGTGTGTGCATGTGTGCAAGTGTATGGAGTGTGTGTGTGTGTGTGTGTGTGTACATATATGTGCAGGACAGAGAACACCCTTGGGCATCATTTCTCCCATGCCTCTGTCTTTTTTTTTAAGATTTATTTGATTTTTATTTATATGTATGAGGGGACTGGGTATATGCACACGAATGCAGGTACCCAGGGAGGCCAGGAGAGAAGCCCCCGGAACAGAAGTCACAGGCGGTTGTGAGTTCCCCCGCGTGGATACGAGGAAGCCAACTTGGGTCCTCCACAAGGGCAGCACGCGCTCTTCACCAAGGGGCCATCACCTCTCCAGCCACACTTTTGAGTCAGGGTCTCTCCCTGGCTGGGAACCCCCACGGTGCCCATGTTTCCAGCCCAGCCATCAGCCCAGCCCCTCAACTTGTTTTAAGAAGGAGGAAGCTGGGCCACCCGAGGGGGCTGTGGAGCTGCTGCTGTTGGCGGCAGCGCTGTTCCCTCCCCTCCCTGCCCCCCTCGAGGGGATGGTGGTGTGCCACCCTCCGCGGGTGACATGGAAGGGCGCACCTTGGTGAGGAGGCTCTTCTTCATGAGGTTGGGGAGGATCAGCTCCGTGGTCTCCTTCCACATCTCATACTTGCGGTCTTCGTAGTCCTTCATCATCCGGCCCACCTCCAGGTACCTCTGCTTCACCTAGCCGAGAATGGGAGCGACCATCATTTCGTCCCTAGAAATGACACCTCCTCCTCTCTGCTGTCTCCAATATAAGTGATGTGGATTTTTTTTGTTTGTTTGGTTTGGTTTTTCAAGACAGGGTTTCTCTGTGTAGCTTTGCGCCTTTCCTGGAATTCACTTTAGAGACCAGGCTGGCCTCGAACTCACAGAGATCCACCTGCCTCTGCCTCCCGAGTGCTGGGATTAAAGGCGTACACCACCACCACCCAGCTGCAGATTTTTTTAAAGATTTATTTTAACTGTGTGTGTGTGTGTGTGTGTGTGTGTGTGTGTGTGTGTGCATGTACACACAAGTGTGAATGCCCATGGAGGCCAGAGGGGTCAGATCCCCTAGAGCTAGAGAGTTCTAGGTGGTTGCAAGCTACTCAACGTGGGAGCTGGAATTGAACTCAAGTCTCCTGAGAAAGCAGTACTTGCTCTTAACCACTGAGCTATCTCCCCAGCCCCAAACTCCATAGTTCTTTAAAGGAAATGCCTGTCAGCCTCTGCTTTACCACATGCAAAAAGCACTGGAGTAAGAGATGGCCAGTGTCAAAAAGACAGCTGGACATGGGCAGAGCGTGTGGCTCAGCTGGTCATGGGCAGAGCGTGTGGCTCAGTTGGTCATGGGCAGAGCGTGTGGCTCAGCTGGACATGGGCAGAGCGTGTGGCTCAG